ACTTCAAACTCACACTCTTTTTTAGTGGCAGCAGCTCTTTTCATTTCATTTAGCTTTAGCTGTGTTCTTGGATTTAGTACCATGTAGAAATAGTTTAGGGATTGTCAAAGATTGGTGTAAAGTTTATACACACATTATAGGATTCCCCTTCTTTGAATCTGTCCTTTTTGTTATTTCCTTCCTCATTTTACACCTCCAGTGGTTGCCCTGAAGTCTGGCCTATAGTTCTTCAAATCTCTAAGCCCCTGTAACTGACTGGAGCCTGCCCTTAGGCTAAAACAGTAAAAACAGGAAACCCAACCCTGTGTGAGTTTCTGCCATTCCCTTCTTCTAAATATAAACACTCCCCTTCCAGTTTCTGCCTGGTTTTTATCAATTTCTCTTGCTTTCAGACACTTGTTTTTTGTAATCTGTCCAAAGTTTATACTTTTATGTACAATTCAGTTGGTAGAGTAGGAATCTTTAGCCATTACAAGTAGCCATGCCAAGATATAGTTTTATAATTGATAGCATGGAAATTTACATTTCAGCCTCATACCTAGTTTCTCCTTTCATTTAAAAATGATGAGCTCACTGCTTAGTTATTAAGGGAAAATCAGAACTGTTAAGACAACTTCTGTATTGTAAAGAAGTTTTAAGAATTTCAGGTATAGTTCTCTCAGATTCATTCAGTAACTAAAACTAGAGTGACAAATGTTACCTAAAAGACCTCTTCAGTACATTTGCTTTATAACATGTTTAAGAAATTTTAATTAACCAGGTAAAATATGCATACATAAAATAATTCTTTAGAAGTCTTTGGAAATTCTTAACATTTTTTTCTCTTAAGTATTTAAACATTTCTCTCCTAATCTTTTATACAAAGGTTTCTAAGTATTACCATAATCCATGTCTGAATTCTCCTAAATTCAAAATAGGTGGCATCAGAATTAACAATGTCCCACTTTAAAGCTATTAATTATTTCTCTTGTTTACTCATCCACATCTTTCTCCATTCAGACTCTCTTTTCTATTTTTAATTTTTACTCACTGGAAATTTTAGCTGTGGTGGTAACTTGGTACAGTTCATTCTACATAAAATTCATTCTATGTAAAATAACAAAGCCCATATTATATTCTAGCTCTGTGTATTAGAAGCCACACAATTTGATGTATCACCATATTCTGATACTATAATTGTCATTGGGCATATCCATACCCTCACTCTTTCATCTATAAAATGGGGTAGGAGAAGTTGGGAAAGTTGAGAATAGATAATGTCTTGTTCCTTCCATATTTAATAATGTGTGAATCCTTGAATGCAGTGCTTCTCTCGTTTTCTCCTTAAATACCTTTTCTAATTTTAATTTTCTTAGTTAAAGAAAAGATTTCTTAGTTATACTACAGCTTTAACAATTTAACTACCATCATCTGAAAAGAAATCCTGTCTATGCACAAAGCTCTGGGAGAGCTACATGTACAGCAATGAGGAGAAAGAAGACACTCGCCTGGCCACTCATATGCCAGCCTTTGTGGTCCATGAGTGACAGAGTATTAGTAGTAATTACTGGTAACCTTTCATTTGCTCTAATCTGAGATATGTGTTACTCCTCTATAAGACTTGTATTTCAATTTAACAAAAGGTCTAGTTCATCATTATGATGTGGAAAGAAAAAGAGGCAATTATCTGAGATTTCAGGTCCTTCTTAAATATTGGATTAGTCTGGCAAGGGGAAAACTGAGAAAGCATAGAACCCTTTTGCCATGCCAGCAACTTTTAAGTTGGGAAGAAAAGAGTCAGGACAGGTAGAGACATTTGTAAGAGATCCAAGGGCAACAAGTTTCAGCATAACTTCCTGTACCACAGCTGAGAGTTCAAACCACTGAGAGATTTTATTCAGCACAAGCCAGCAGGAACAAGCAGAGGGACAATACTCAACTCCAGGAAATAGATGGGACTCCATATGATACTTTAGCTTCCAAAACCAGCATCGGTTTCTGGATGAAAAGACATAAGGATGAAATAGACGAATACAAGAATGAAGTGTGAATGTAGCCAACAGGAAGAGGACCTGACTTATGAAGAACTTTATTAAGCAGCTTGTACTTCAGGAAGTAAGGAGTTTATTTTGGCAGAGATTTCAGCAAACACTGTATAGACAACAGCACAGAATATTTTATCAAATATGTGGGTTTTGTTTTTGAAAATTTAAAGAATTGGGGGAAAATGATACATAAGTCTAACACTCTTCATATGTGTTTACAACAGATGGAAGATTTTTTAATATTAGATAATATTAAATATATACATTTAATGCTTTCTTCTGAAACAATTTCGAAGAATATTACACAATTGCTAGAGTCACTGCTAACTAAAAAAATCTAAAATTGGTGTGAATTTTGAATTTGAACAGATTACAGGTACCTTGGTAAGAGGCTGGATGTTGACAGAAATGTGAAGATTATTTTATGGAGATGGAAACAACACAGGAAATACAACATTTTAGATTTAAAGGTTTCCTTCCAAAGAACTCAGTGGGCAAATCAAGAAAATGCAGAAGTTCACATGAAAGCTTCAAGCAATGTTTGTAGATGCTTAATTATAACAGATAAACCTGAAATTGGCAAAATGGAAAATATAATGACATGTTTTACAAAATGGAATATTTTTATTTTTATATAAGTTAGCTTCATCTTTTTACAAAGAGAAAATGATTCAACCAGGCTAGTTTACTTTATCTTCCAAGCAGCAATCATGGGTGGTTTCTAACTCACTCTTCCTACTTCGGTGTTCTCAGATGCTATTCGATTGTCATGCCAGAGGCTCTGAGAGATTCAACCAGAATATCTGTACCAAAACCAATTTTTTTGTAAACAAAAAAATGCAGAGAAAGAAATGAAATGAAAAATAAATCCAGTTTGCAGGGAGAAAGGAGATGCCATAGAGGGACGCACAGAAAGGACTTCCCATCCCACTTGGGATGCAGGATGTTGACTCCCTTGATGTCTGTCTTTTGTATTTCCATTTGAGTTTCCACTGGAAAACTTACTTTAGATTCCAAATCCAGCTACATATTTGCATTCATTTCCACAAATGGGTAGGATGGCTCAACTTGCTTCACAAGTATTTGTTATATCTAACGGGTTAGTGAGTCTGTATTAGTCACAGTCATGTTGTCAAGCCAAGTGGTTCCACAGAAGAGTCCTCACCGTTATTGCATACCTGATAATGGCTTTTTCTATTATATGCCTACTGAAACAAAGTATTTGAAGTTAAGAACCAAGAAAACACTAAAAAAAAAACATGCACTTTTATATCAGTGCCAAAGTAAGGGGTTAAGATAACAATCCATGTTATTGTGGGCATAACAGATATGTTATTTAGGGTATTGTTGGAACGAAGTTGAGAAAGATACCCTAGAGTAAATTTCTATGTGGGTCATTTCAGACCTTGTTAAAATAATAAAAATAATCAAGATCTGTTTTTACATTTCAACCCCTGTTTCAGGTTCAACTTGGATAATGCAAAGATGCTCTCATTTTGTATGAGTTTTTAAATTATTTTACTAGTTTATATAGGAAAAGCATGCACAAGGTTAAAAAAGTATATTTAAAAAATACAGAAGGGTATATCGTGGAAAATATCTCCTCTAACCTCTGTCCTCCAGCTGCCCATTTATCCTCCAGGAGATAAGCACTGATACTGATTTTTGGTGGCCCCTCGCAGAAATACACTAGGCTCCAATGGGTATGTAGTATTCAGCCTTTTAGTTTAACAAATGGTAACATAGTGCCACCCAGTTGGACACCTTGCATTTTTTCACACTGTATTTTAGAGAAAGCTAAGTAGGAGTATGTATGGAACTGCCTCATTCTTTTCAGTGTTTGTGTGGTTTTTGTTTCATTCATGGGTGTATTGTAATTCTTAGAGGTAAAATTGTTGGGTCAAAAATGGTTGCACTTTTTCATTTTGATCAGATTTTGCCAAAATACTGTCCATAGAGGTTCTACTCATAATACCTCCAAGGAATTATGAGAGTGGTAATGGTAATAATTAGCAGAAAAGCAAATCATCTTCATTATGTGACTATGAATGAATTCCAGACCACAGTTATAGTAATACACAAGGCACTCTTTCTTTCTCTTGATTCTTTAATGTTTGACCTAGTGTCTGGCATCCACTGTACTATAAAGCAATTATAATTATAAACCCAGTTTACAGATAAGGAAACTGAAGTGCAGAGATAATACATAATGTGACAGAGCTGGTAACTGATAGGATCTGGACCCAGGTAGTTGGGAAGCCAAAGCCTGCAAGTGAACTATGAGATGACAATGCCCCTATTGAGCATTCTACTTTTTTTTAATTCATGTTACATAGATTTCTTGAGTTGGTACCCATAATCTCTCTGCAAATACTCTGTTTCCTTCTTGTGTCTTTTTGTACTTTCAAACCTGCCTTTTACATATAAGTCAAATTAAAATAGAAAGCTTTGTTTCATTTTGGTTTTTCTCTGAGGATACCTAGAAAATTGGGAACCAAGTTGAAATGATCTTCAGTGACAGTCCTCCATATTATAAATAAATATGTAGCAACTTTACATTTTTCATTTTAAAATTGATGACCCTCCAGTTATTTCATAAATGTGCCCAACAAGCTCCCAAGAAACATAAATGTTTAAATGTTTTTTTAAAAAATAGCTTCCTGTGGTCCTTCCAGCAAGCCCCATGACACTTTTCATGTGCACGGAGTGGCTATATTCTCCTGTACCTGACGTGCAGGCCTAGGTGAAATATTGTGGGCATAAAAATTGCATTTGGTAGGCCTGCTAGGAAGGGTCGTGTAAAAGTCATCTCTGACTTGTTAATGGGGTTTCTTAGATGTAGGATATATGGCAGCACAACATGCATCCTAAGGGGAAAACCGCCTGTTTCATAAAAGTTTATTTTCATATTTTATACACTGTAGTTCTGTTGTGTGTTTTTGATTTAGTAACAATTTATGTGTTTTTCTGTCACAGAGCACCGCGGCCTGTGGTGCGGAGGCTCACGGCGATGCCATCCAGCCCTGCCACATCAGAGAGGCCATTCGACGCTACAGCCACAAGATTGGCCCCCTTTCCCCATTCACAGTACGTAATAACAGAGTTATAAACGTTATATTTATAATCCGAAAGAATTTTGATTTTCAAGTGGTCAAATGAAGAAGCAATGGAATTGTTGAAAGCAATTTGCGGTGACTGTAATTTTGTTGTATAAAAGTGGCATAATTCTCTTGGGAAATAAAAGTTAGTCATTTTTGTCTCTTTTTGGAAGGACGATTTTTTTCTCCAAAATATTATTTTCATTCAATTACAAATCATGCTTTTTGTTGGGGCTTGTATTTTCTGTTTTTCAAAGCTGAGGTTTATAAAAGTTTTTGTCAAATTATATGTATCCAAATATTGCTAGAAGCACTTTATATTTTAAAATTGGTTACATTGGCAGTACCACTTCTATCAGATGTCCTGCTCCTAAACATACTTTGAGTTGGAAGAAGAAGAATTGATTTCCTTACTGGCTTTGAAGTAGGCTGAAATGCAGATAGCCTTTCACATCTTCAAATGGTTTTAAAGCTTATAATCAGGATTTGTTTAGTTTTGTTTTTAATGGAGAATTAAAGACATTATATTTCAGCATCCTAGGGAAAGAGTGTGTGCTCATGTGTTTGTGTGTTAACTCAATGGTCATCTTCTGGCCCTTTTTTAAAAAATCTTTATTCATGTTAGTAGAACTTCCTCCAAGTCCTTCTCTGTTTATAAGTAATTAGTTTAATCTTCCACAAGTGAGGTTTCACTTAGTACTGAGGAATAGTAGAATTTGCTATTTGTTTGATTTTTTTTATATTCACTTCTGCTTTAACATACTAAAGCAGAATATATATAATGTATTTGTATAACAATATGTATACTGTATAATGTTAACATTATACATACATGTATATACATAAGTATAACATAGTAGGTCTTTTCTCCTAAGAGTGGCTTTTACTATTGTCTGCTGACAGAAGTCATGATTTCTTCTAAATTGTATCATCTCCTATTTCCTGGGTTTTAGCTAAAGGAAATGCTTTCTCCCCTTCTTTGTTTTCATTAGTTATTGTTTGTTGTATGGATTATAGTGTGACAGCAAGAATGTGTCAGAAGGTCTTTATGTATGTCTCCAGGAGCTTTTTGTAATATTGATGATAATTTTCACACTTGTTTAATATTTAAAATTTGTCTTATATATTAACTGCTGGTTAAAGCAAGAAAGTTGTTAGATTATTACAATTGAAAAGAAAAAATGAAATCAAGTATCTGTTTTTTTCTACATGATAGGTGAGCCTACTTTAAGCAATAAGCCAAAAGGAAGATGAGATTTAGAAAAATATGAGATGGTTGGAAGATTTAACTGGAATTGAAGAACCAATTGTAACAAAGTATTAAAAATATCAAATCCATAGATAAAAGCCAAATAGTTACTAATAGACTGAGGTAGTGAAATGGAGAGATTAAAAAAAGGAGGCAGTATGGTCAGTAATCTAACAGTACTTAAAGAGTAGCAAAGGGAAATAGGATTTTTAAGAAATAACCTAAAATGGTAACTGAAAGTAATGGATAAAATTACATAAAGGAAAATGTGCTTAGTACAAAAGGAAAATCTCCTAATCATCAAGTCTGTGATATTTCCTTAAAAGGAAATGGTGGCAGTAGTGGCTGCTACATTCTCCAAGGTTTTTTCATTTTTAAATAGATTAGACAGATCACTTGAGAAGCATCTTGATTGATTATATTATTTGTGTGTGTGTGTGTTTGTTCATTCCCCCATGTCTAACCTAGTTCTCTATTAGTTGTATTTGTTGCCATTATAATCTAAGATTATAGTATATAGTTGGAAAACATACTTGACACTAAGTTCAGAGGTAGTTTAAGTTCATTTTATCTTATAAACATATGACCGATACACTTTTTAAAACTAATGATGCAATTTTAAAATACTTAATTTAAATAGATTTAGAAAATAGAGCAAATAAGCCATGACTTAGAAGGTCCACTTAGCCATCACCAGAGCAGAAGAGCAAAATCAACAGCAAATGCTAAAGAACTCTACCAAAGGGGCACCTGAGTGATCACTCCTCAGAAAGGACCTTACCTGAAAAATCGGCTCTATTACCTAGAGCTGTAAGAATTTATTCGCCCAGGCTACAGGACTGAGTAAATACTCCTAGTCCATTTTATGTCTTGAGTAATATCATCAGGAAGACACAGCTTCGTGGTATGTATTACAGTGCATAAATCTGGCTTCTATAAAAATTCTCCCTCAAGTGAGGTAGATTTACAGACTGTATATGTTAACAACGTGGCTACCTTGCCCTATCCCCACGTACCTTCAACTGCTAAACAAAGGTGCTCCTGATGTTGGGGAGGATGCTGATGTTCAGATCCCTGGTGCCCACTCACAGAGATGATTCTCTGTTTGCACTAGGGACACTTTGCCACCTAGGCTTTGTGTTGCAGCTCCTTGGAGGAGAGGAGGTATGTGGGCTGCCTCTGTAATAATCATAGATTGAGACCTAAATTTTCATAAAGGAAGGCATGAGCAAACTTACGTCCGTTGTTAAATTTCCTTTGTAAGTTAAATGCCTGTGAACAAGCAGCTTATATTTATGAAACAGAGATTTTTGTCTTTGCAGCATATTGTTCTGAATCTAAAGCACTTGTCTGATGTATATATAAATGTGGTATCTAATTTAGAATATCCATAATTTAATTAATATGTAGCCAATTCCCAATAACTTAAAGCTGATGTAGAGAACTCAAATAACAACCAATAGATTACATGAAAACTTAATTCCAACATCAGTCAGTAAACCCATGTCATCAGCTTTTAGGGAATACTATTCTGTTTTCTGCTCGATGACTTTTGAAATAATTTTATACAAAATCACAACATGATCAATTTCAGGAATACAATTCATTGTGTAAGGAAGTGTGAGTGAGTTCTCCACCTTGGATATTAGTTGAGATAATAGAAGAAAGGAATGATTAAAGCCATATTAGGTGCAAGAGAGAAAAAGAATACAAGCAGTGCTTTGCCCTGAAGCTGCTACAAGAGGGAGGAGAGGACAGTGTAGGCATCCGTGCATCCATTGCCTGCTGCTCAGGTGAATGCTTTGCAGACACTGAGAAAACCACCCATGCCCACTCAATTATTTATAACATTACTGGTTTGGGCTTATTTTTTTTAATTGGTGATTTCTTCCTTCTCTGTGTTCTCATTAATTCTCAGTCCTGTGTAGAAGATCAGATTAAGTATCATGCCTAGAAGATTTAAGTGATTTTCCTGAGGTTAATTAAATGATGGGGCCCGGGCTGAAATTCCAGCCTTCCAACTCCCAGCTCCGAAATCTTTCCCCTAAAACGTACTTTTGCAACTGTCCTCACCTTGTATAAATGATATGTATACACATGGTCAAGAACATTTAAGAGACTAATTTTAAGTTTTTCCTTTTTTTCCTAAATAATTCTAAAACTCACCTCAGAATCTGTTTTGCAGTAGTTATTTTAGAGTTCTTAGGCAACCTAGAATGTCCTAAGTGATTTTTACACTTGTCATCTTACTTTGTCCTTATACTCATAGTAGTTGATATGACGTGATATTGTATTGTGTGGTGATGAGGACTGTTGACCCTAGAGCCAAACAGCCCGGGTTCAGATCCCAGCTCTGCCACCTACTAGCTAAGTAGCCTTAAGGAGGTTTCTTAACCTTGCTGTGGCTGTTCCCTCACTTGTAAAAAATGGGTATAATAATAGAATATACATCATTTTAGAATTTAAGGAATACTATGAACTTGACATGTGGTAAGCTCTTACTAAATTATATTAGTAATATTGGAAGTAGTAGTATCAATAGTACCTGTAGCATTTTTTTTAAAAGGTAACAGATAAGAATGCAAACAGACTGAAATAGAAGCCATGCTTCCCTACCACCCAACCACGCAGACACACAAACACAGAGGTCTCACTTTATAATCCCCGAAGAAACTAAAACTTGAATAGTAATGTGATTTCCTTATGGACTAATTTTTTCTACACTTAAAATGTAAATACCATTTAAATATTATTGTTCCTGAAACTAAATAAATGTTCAGTTTTACTCTTTGGATTAATAACAGCTGAAGTACACTAATGGGTTTCTTATCACCATTGTCACTTTCAAAAGTAAGGTCTCAGTAACTGAGTATACATAGTTGCTACTTGATTTTTGCATACTAGCCAAATTTTGCATACTAGCTTTTATGAAACAAATCTAAAGAACAAATGTCATGACCTCAGATTTATAAAGCTTCAACAAATTCAGTTTGAGTTTACATATTTGTGTAAGTTAATGAAAAAAGTTTTCAGAGACTGACGAGTATATCAAAGTTTTAAAAAAATTATTACTAGCCTCATTTTCCTCAATTTTTAAAGTGTCTTCATTTCACTGATGTGAAAGAAGGGCTAATATATTAGAAAATTAAGAAAATGTAAAAAAATAAAAGATAAAGTAAAACTGACATTAAGAAGGGCATTACGGCCCCAAGCCAAAGGGAAAGCAAAAGCTTTAAATGAATTGTCCTGTCTGAAAATTAATTGGTATTTAATTGTTTGAAGAGTATTTTCTTCTCACAGCCTAAAATTTGCAATGCTTTTGGTAATTTTCTTTAAATATTCTTAGAATTTACTTGTGTGAGTTTAGAGGTAAAAATTGCATTTTTAAAATTTTGTGAATTAAGTGGACTTTAACAGGTAGAGCATTTTGGTTTTTCTCTCAGAGAAAATACTCTGAAGAGTAACCCAAGGTACTGGTGGTCTGTCATATAGCATGTTTTACCTAGATCCTCACCGTTCACAAGCAGTGGGTAATGACCGTGGGTACCTACTCTGAAGCTCAGTCCCTGCTCTCAGTGGGAAATGCTGTAAATGGCTGATATAAAAACGGGTCTATAATTCTGAAAGTCAGAAAAAGGAAACTGTTCACTGAGATGACATAATCCCATGTGTAATGCCTAAATCTATTTTAGTTTCTCCCAAGTGATATTCACAGCAGAAAAACGTTAATCCTCTGAGCT